CAGTATCAAAGCTCTTAGTGATTTGAAACAGGCAACAAATTTTCTACCATTTTTCCCTTGGCTTGCATCTTGCTTTTGCTGTCATTTTCAAGAAAGTGATCACTCACCATATCTTTATTTTCATAATGTTTTAGATGAGAAAGAAGTTTTTTGTTGGGGGTTTGTCTCTAATGATTCATCTATAAATCATGATAATAAAAATAATTCCATTAAGTTAATTGCCAACCTGTTGTAAGTTGTTATTAAAATTTAGTTTCCTACCAGCAATTACTCTTCAGAAATCATATTTTACTCACTCTGTAAATCTATTGCACTGTTCATAGTGCTATTATACCTGTGACATTGTAATAGCAACAGTGAAAATCAAGTCATCTTTCTGCTGACAGAATAAAAGCAGTAAATGTCAAACTAATGAATATAGAGTGGGCATATGTAAATGACCTAGGGGAACAGAGAGGTTCTTAACATTTCTCATTTTAAACATAGATCAACCTGAGTTTCACTGTGTGAAAGACTCTTATGTGTTTCTTGATCAGAAGTAATTTTTAAACTTGATCAGAAGTAATTTTTAAAAGGGCTTCATATTCTTGCTGAAAATTAAGTCATGCTCAGTGGATATGCAGCTTGAGAGGAGTAAAGCTACCGAGCTCCGGGGCGGCGGTGCCCGCGCCGTGCCCAGGGCAGGGATGTGCCGCTGTGTGCCAACCTCACCTGGCCCTCTGCTCCTCCCCACGGGCTCAGGGGTGCTGGGGGGATCCTGCCTTGGGCACACCCCGCGTTCAGGCCTGGGCAGGAGCACGGGCTGAGGACACAGCTGTCACCTGCTTGCTTCGCCTCTGCCCCGGAGAGCTGCGCGAACACGCTCGGTGTCTCAAGTACAGCTTCTCTCTGGTGGCATTTCCCACCACGGCTCCTGCTGCTGTTTGTGCCTTTCATCTTTCCTGAATCTGGTAACTGAAACTATAAGAGATGAGATTTGCTCGGAACAACTCAGATGTTACATGAGAAACTGATTTTTTGAGAGCAGTTTCAAAACGCGCTGTCTTCTAAAAATCTTTTTTATAATATGTTGAAAAAAAATCAAAATATCATCTCTGCCTTTCTTACAAATTAAAGAGCATTATTGGCTTTTTCGAGTCAGCTAGAAATAATTAATGTTTATTTGGCTAAATATCCAACTTAGATAAGTGGTATTTTTAACAAAACAATTCATATAGGTATTTCTGTCAACCACAGGAAAAGACCCTGGCTAAAGAAATAAGCATTGATTTGACAAATTTAAAAATAAAATTAAAAACCCACTAGCATGAATGAAATACATTATAAAACACCTGAATATAATTTTCTGAGGATGCCCCAAGATGGATGCCCTCTATGCATTGAGAAGATTATCATAAGCAAGGGTTTAGATTATATAATTCAAGTAGTTGGGTAAAATATGCTGGCTAGTCTGAGCAGTCTTCTCTGGACTGAAATGCCTGTAAATTTTTTTCCACATTCAATCTTCCCTGAAAAGGCTGGAATAGATGAAATCAGCTTTTGTTTAAGAGCCATCAGTCTCAGCCTGCTCCATACGGCCCCTGCCAGTGCTCTTTGTAGCAGCACTTGTGCTGAGCAACCAAACCACGCTTTCTTCAGGAGAGTCATTAAAAAGCTCTCATTCTTTCAGTTCAGTGCTCTCCAACAAGTATAGGTACTTTCTTTAGCATTGAATTTAATACAGTGAAGATTTTCCATTAGCTGAGCTGAAAGAACCCAGACATTTTTGTAGATGATAATGTCTTCCATGTATCTAAATTAAAATCACTTAAACAAATGGATTCTCTATTTAATGTAGCATTAGTTCAAAAAAGCACACGAAACAGGGATTAGTATTCAGTAGACTTCTTATTTTATTGTATAAAAGTAATTACCTTTTAAATACTATCCAAATTAACATTTTAATATTCCTCTAGGCTTATACATTTTAAAAGCATAATATAACTTGGTACCTAATACAGAAGAACCCTATTTCCTTTTCTGCTAAATTAGTCTGCTGTATAAATTTGAATAATTTGCAATGTAAGTGGCAGCAATTATTTTTCTTACAAATAAACTCATATTACAACAAAAGATACTCTACGTTTTCAGCACAGATTAATTAGAATGTGAAGAGCTTAATTTCATCATATTTGTATTTCTTGGTAAGGTATTTGGGGAAAAAAGTCTCTTATGTTACCCACCTTTATGTTTTACCAGACCTTGTCAAGGTAAAATATATGACCTAAAATGGAGTTCCATCTCAGTCCTCCAGTGAATTTTGCATATTAAAAGTCCAGCTGGCTGAAATAATACACAGAATTCACTTTTATCTTTTAAAATTGAGCTCATCTGACTGTTTACATAGTATATGTAGATATTATTTTTGTGCTTCCATGTAACTTTTTAATCAGTGTATGTTGTGATAATAAAAAGAAACTGTCTTCTTTTGTCACTGAATTTACTTTTTGCTCAGGTCTGAAGCAAGTTAATCACTAAATTAATCATAATTCAATAAGAACTTTACAGTATAGTCAAGGGGAGAGCTAGGAAAAGGCTTTAAGTTTGTAGAATAAAAAAAGATTAATCTGGAAAAAAAACAGATGATAAGGGAAGTGCAGGAGAAATATAATAAAGGTGTAGTAGGCTTGTCCACCAAATATGTCAGTGGTCTGTTAATCACAAGAGTATATGGGGAAAAGACAGGATCAGGTAGATAGTGAAAGATCAAGAGGTATGCAACTTTTTAAAGTAATTTATTTTATTAAATGACAATGGTAACTGATAAATGCAATGGTAACCACCATAGGGCAGCCCTGTGAAGATGCAAACCGCTCACTGCCACATCCCAGAGCAGGTTTTAGTGGCAGGGCTAGAGAGGCATTCTCTGCAGACCCAGAAGAGTGGTTCTGAGCCTTGCTCCTGGCATCACCCACTCTGCTGCCATTGTATCCACAGCCTGGGCACCTGGATTGTCCAGGGTGAGGCAGGTCCCTGTGCTGCCCTTGTCGTGGGGGCTACAGGGACTGCTGAAAGCTCAGCTCCTTATCCCACCAGGCTGCCTCATCTCCTGACCTCTTCTGATCAGCCCTGTTTCTTTCCTAATCCTCTAAAATATTGTGTGCATTATTTGCTGGTATTTGCACTCAGCCTTGGGTCTCTGTCCTAGCTGCTGTGTGAGTTTGTCACCTCTCAAACCAATGTACAGACCTGACAGTTACAGCAGGAAAAAAAATGAGCCTCATCTCCTATGGCAAAGTATTAGAACTGTGTGGTCCCTCATGCTCTCTGCATTGTTTATGTATCTGAAAGACCCTGGGTGAAAAACTTTTTGTGGTAAAACAGGTAGAACTGCAACTTTATAGTTCTGTGATGCCACAACCTGTCCTAAGATAGCCTCATAATTTCTGTGAGATTCTGGGAATGTAATAGGTAGTGAAATAAGCAAATGTTTATCAGGTAATAATAGATTCACTACCTTCTTTTCATAAGCAAGTACCACCCTAAAATACAAGGGACATAAGTGTGTGTGTTATATATATATCTATATATACATATATATATATATATATATATGTATAGATACATCTGCCTAGAGTTATAGCTCCCTAGCAGCCAAAAGCTCTGACTCATTTGCTTTCTATTAAGTTCCTCTTAAAACACACATTTTCCCTTATGCTTAAAATAATGACATTAAAAACCTCAAATTTTCACAGAAAAATTTTATGGGTAGCTATTTTTTATTTGGGTATTTTTTAAATCCTTTAAAATATTCATATAACATATAATTTTTCCATTTCACTTCAAGTTAAGGTCTTGACACAGCATCATGAACAAGGAAAATGACAGTCTAATTCATCAAAATAAAATTGTTTCATTGCCTTTGTGAAATGGACATGCAGCTGAGACCATAAAGCTTGAAAATGAGTTTCAGAGTATGGCCACGGCCCTTCATTTTAAGGCTTGGGTTGTTTTTTTTTTTAAAAAGTAAACCCCTCCCCCACTTTTTTCCCCCTTTTTTCTTGTTACATTTGTGAAACTATCATCTCCCTTTCTCACTGGGTTCAGTTATAATATTATCTGTCAATGTAGTTTTGCCTGCAGCTGAGTTCCTCTGAATGTATTCTCATAAAATGCAGCCAGAACTGGTCCACTGACCATTGCCAATAACTGCCCCTTTTCCTGTTAAATCCTTCAGGCTGACCAAGTAAAAAGCATTTCTGTGTCATTCCCTTTGGAAAAGAAAATAAACTGTGCAACTCATTTTGTTTCAGATGCAGAGCTCACAGTGAGCAGTTCTATCATTAAGATACTGAAATGAGCCTTGCTGACCGAGTGAAATGAAAATCTGCCCCTCGGGTGCTCTCCTGCAACCACAGGAGTCATCTCAGGGTGTCAGGATCGTGTGAGGAATAAGGATTAGGCTCTCTGTTCTAGGTTTTACATAGGCTTCACATATATTTCCTTTGCTTCCTATGCTGATTCCTTGCCAATAAGAAATTAATTGGCCTGTTCAGGGATGTCTGACTCCTCATTTAGGCAGCTATGGTGAAATTTTATATTGAAATAAACAAAGGAAATTGAAGCCCCAATGGCACATGTAGCCACTGGATGATTTACCAGCAGCTTTTTTGTTAAACTGCAAGGATTAAATTATCACAAATCCCACAGCTATGGAAATAAGGCAAGTGCTCATTGAGGTGTACCTTTAAAGAAGACAGACTTTGGGAGTGGGATCGGCTCCTGCATTGTGCATTGTATAACCATGCATAGTTTAGAAACTCTGAAGGGAGATGAATATGAGAAGCTCAAAAAAAAAAAACTAAACAAAAAAATGTTAAAAGTTATGCTTAAGGAATGATGCCTTGAATCCATTTTCCCTGGGAAAAATGGTTATTTATACTCACCTATTTATTTTTTGTCAAGCCAAAGGGATCTGTTTTAATTATAACAAACCACAGGCAGAAATAACATTTCTTAAACACATTTGCAGAAAAAAAAATTAATTCTCTCTCTAGCTAGCCAGTAAGACAAAAAGCAAAGTGCTGTGGAAATTCTCCAGCCTTTTATACATATTTGAATTGAAGTGACAGAAATTTATAAATTGGCAGGTCATGAAAATTACATTAAAGCAAAGCAATCATATTTGTAAATTAGCTGTGGTGTAATACATGTGCATTCTAATTTTGTCCCTTAACTTTCCTCACTGCATAACTGAAAGCAGCTTTTTACAAAAGTTTGGGAGAACCAACCACATGTATGTAACAAGTAACAGACATTTACTTAATGCAACAGAAATCTTTAACAAAAATTGGTTTTTTATTGTTGTCATTCTCAATCCCATTGCAGGTGTACAGCATCTCTTTAACACAAGCTCTGAAAGCATCCACAGAGACAACATTTGCCTGAAAACCTCTCTTTTTTAGTACAGCAAAATACATTCAGTATCACTGACAGTCCCTGAATATGAATACCAATACTGGGATCCACAAGCATGGTAAACACACAAATGTTCTTCTACATAGTTAAATGTGGTGGAAATCTGTACGAGGCATTATTTTTAAGTTTTAGTGGCATTCCCTCCACCCCATGTCAAACTTATTGCTGAAATTATTTGGCTTTCTCAGGCAGAAAGCTATTTTCATTTGTATGTAACAGCATTTTCCTCCATAACAAACAAGATGTGAGTACTTCCAATAGAAATCTATCCAATGTAATGTATTGAGCTCACGGAATATTTTTAGCACACTCCCATCAAAGGAAGATGAAGTACATTTTATAAATCTATCCAGTTCTTCGGAAGCCAATTCTTCATTTTCCTTCTCCCTGGTCTGGCTTGACTTTTTCTGGCTGCTTTGAAGCACATTTGGTCATGACTCTTTTTCCCTGGAGAAATCAGAACTTCTCCTGTTGTTAAAAAAGTGGATGAATTAGATGAGAAATATCCTGGAGCAACTAAAAGCTCTGACCAAATATACCACTGAAATAAATGGAAACATTTCTCAAGAGGCAATTAGATCACATCTATTGAGATAATTCTCTAAAATCCCACACAAATGAGGAAGCTGGGGGAAGCTGGAGCATTCTGGGGGCTTTCAGTTCTTTGTACTCATCATATTTCGGGTTGTTGTGAGAAGTGAGGAAGCTCTCAGTCTGTTTTACACAGTTTAGTGGCAAAAGCCCTAAATTCCTTCACTAAATACAGGTGAGTTTGTTGAGAGCCCTGCATCTGGTGCAGCCTTCCAGCCTCTGGTGGCAGCACAAAGCTCCACGTGCCACCGCTCATGGGGACCTCGTGCGAGAGAGAGAGAGAGACAGAGTAAGGAGCCAGAGCAGTAACGAAGATTTCTGCCTGGCTTCCATAAAACTGTCTGTAGACAAAGCGTTTCTGCAAAACCTTTGCATGGAATATACAGATCCCTGCCTCTCTCCTCAAGGTGGGTGAAGGGGAGAACCACTCTTGTACAGCAGCTGGCTGAAAGAACACAAACATCTGCAAGGTTACAAGGCAGGGTTTCAGGGCATCCCTCTCCAGTCCTGCAGCAAGGTGCTCTTCTGTCTTGCTATAGCCTCCCTCTTCAAACCATGGAATTATTCACACCTCTAATTGTTTCAGGAGCAGGCATTTTTACAGACAAACCTGCATTCTCACTTACTTTACAGACAAACCCGCATTCTCACTTATTTCAAATGTTTTATTACATTAAAAGACATCCTAGTAAAAAAATATCCAAATTAAAGAAAGGCTGGTAATCATATCCAAGTTCAAAACTAGATATAAATGAAAGACAAAGACATTTTAAATTCTATGCTTCAGGCAATTGTAGATTTTCTTTTAATGCCATTATAAAATTCTGGATTTTATATAACTTTCCCTAGAGAATGTTGTTTCTCTCTTTTGTGGGCTGACAGGAGACTATTTCAGAAAGAGCATACTAATATTTAAAAAAAATTTGTTATTTTGCAGCATTAGCTTTATGCGCATAATTGAACTTCTGATTTTTTTTTTTCTTGTAATGACAAGCGAAAGGTCCTTGGCATGATTTTCACTTGCTGCATTTACTGCTTTCTTTGAAGACAGAAAAAAAATTCATGGATTTGTCGGGTTTTGCAACTAGTTTTGGGAACTAAATGTTCATTTAATTTGCCTTATTTTGTGTTGCAACCATCTTCAGGATGGTAGATTTTACTGAGGAATCCCTGTTGCTTTTACACAGACCTGGTTAGTTTAGCCAAAGACGCCAAGTTTTCTGAGGCCATAATGAGTTTATCCAGATGCATTCTTTTATGTTTTTCCATGCTTCAAAAGAGATTTTTCAAAAGGGTTGAACTAAGAATATTTCAGTGGCTTGCTTTCTCTTTTCTTGCAAAAGGTAAAAATAAGTATACTGTAAACACAATTTCCTGGAACTAGCAAGACCACACAACTACTGAATTAATGAAATATCATTGATTTTGACTGAGTAGATAGAAAAATAAAGGCAAAATATTTATTCAGTCTGGTATGTTGGTTTCTAAAACTGGATGAACTCTTCTGGAAACTTTGACACATTTGTATGCTTTTTTTTCTGAAGTAGCTCGACTAGCTCTATCCGAAGGATTGCGAAAGAGAGAAATTATCATTTCAATCAGTAAAGTGACAATGTTACACAAATCATCAAAATATTACTCTCAGCAATCAACATATATTAATATATTTTAGAAGTAGCTCAATGGGGGATTTTTAGCTTGCAGCACTGAGAAATGAATCTGGGAATCATAAGCATCTTTTCAGTTTTCAGCAAATAAAAGCCATTCTGGAACTATCCCAGTGTGAGAAGGGATTCAGTGAAAGAGCAGAGCAGCCGAATTTTGGGTGTGGACAATGACAGGCCCATTTGGCAAAAGTTTAGGAAGTGGATATAGAAAATATAATTCACTTCAGACTCATGCTGAACCCATTCTTCAGTGGTGATAACAGCCTTAGAAGATTTAAAGCCATGACGAGGGACTTAAGTTTGCATTTCTTGCAAATTTTAAAGATTACTCTTCTGATTCAATTTTTCTTAAGCTATTTTTAAATTTATTTGCTTTAGCCCTTCTCTTAAAAAAAAATAATCTTGTCCTCACAATCTCTACCTCATCAGCATTTGAAACAAGAGGTGTCTTCTATTCCAAGACATGAATAATTTTGCATATTAAAACCATTCCCCAGTTCTTTTAATTTTCTCCTTTCTCTTTCTCTGTGTCTTCCTGAGAAACATTTTAAAAGACAAGAATTACTTCTTAAGCAAACTGTGAGGAGGATTTGATGACACATTGATCTTGCACTTTCTTTGAGAATACTGTAATTTAAATAGGGTTTTTTTCCTGAAAGATGAGAAAGATAATATGAAAATTTAATAGCTAGGGAAAGCACAAAAACCAATGGCATTGCTTCCAACGCCTTCCCATTCTGCAACTGCAGCATCTTGGTCAGTAATCCAAAACCTTCACCCAATAATGTTCTTTAAATAATGTTGCACTATTTGGAGCAATGGCTGCCTGGAAATCTGTTTTCCTGCCAGGGAGAAGGGGCAAAAGAGTGAGTGGATTTTGTCTGCATTATTTACAGTATTAATTTGATACATAATTCCCTTCTTTGTCTCATTGCAGTAGATTTATTTGCCACTCTTTGACACTTCTTTGTGCAGGTGGTGCTAGCTCTGAACAGAGCATGAAAAACATTGCTTTTCTTTTTATGAAACTGAAATGTGAAGCAATAGAGGCACAATAAGATATTATCATCAAGTCACGTGTTTTACTACTCTACTGTTTCTATTACTCCCCAGTACGGCTGCTGCTGAACAAAGGAGTTTTTCAAGTGCCAGTAGTGTGTTACAGTGTGAGAAATAGTGTGTTACAGTGTGAGATGTGCAGGCTGGGAGCGGGTGGGAGCTGGGAAAAGTGTCAGGAGCGAGGCTCCTACCACAGACAGTCTCCCTCTCAAAAACTGTGCTAAGCAGGCAGGGGGGTACAATTCTCACTTTCTCTTCCCTTGGGCAGTGTTATGCTGGCCTGCCTGTGCTCTGGCTGGCTCCTGGAGTCTTTTATTTCCATTTTTTTGATAACCCCATCTATTTGATTCACCCTTCTGGCTTTCCTCTGGAAACACACGGAGGAACACGCAGACCGAGAGCGCCGTCTCTTCTCGGATTTGCTACAAGCACATGTTGACACAGACTTCTCATTCACCCATTTTTGTATTACCCCCTTGTCAGATCTGTAGTGAATTATCTAAGTGAAAAAAATGATATTGTTAAGGTTAGATATTGTGATGCAGTTCAATTTATTTATCTTTTAAAAAAGGAAAATGTCTTGTTCACAAACCCAAGCAATTATATCCTTCTTGTTCTTCTTAAAGCCTATTTCCTTTAGAATTCTGTCTGCAAACTTTCTCTTCTTCTCAACTTCTTTGTGTGCTTGGGCAGTGGGACATTCTTCTAATCTTCTCAACTTTACTTTTCCCCTCAAATACAGCTCCATTTAGAAGCACCTTCCATTTGTCTATATTTTGATTTGGGTGTATGAAGAAACTTTGTAGTGTTTTGGGTTTGGGAGTATTTTTTCTTTGGTTTTTCTTTTCTTTCCAAACATATCCAGAGACCAAATACAGATGTTTATTTCCAAAAACTTCAAGGATTGGTATAACACCATAGCAACTCTTATTCCTTCCTGGGCTTTCATTACCTGAAACAGATGGTAGAGGAAAGCTGGACTCCTGCAGGATGTTTTCCCAGAGGAAAACATTTGCCTTTAGTGACAGCTGGGCAAATGTCAATTTCTGACTCACAAGGCACATATTCCATTAAAAAAAAAAAAAAAAAAAGAGGAAAAGGGAAAAAAGGAGCTGTGTTTGGAGGAAACACAGCTTCTCAGGCGTTCCTTCAGAATAAAAATGCTGAAACTTCTGTCCAGATTCTAAAATCACCTTCAGAGTTTTACAGTCCCACTTGGAGTCTTCCCAGATACATTTGTATATTCCCATGTATGTCCTCATATAGGAAAAAAAAAAACTTACAGGAGGCCATGGAAACTTCTCATTTATGCTGGAAACAAACACAGGAACAAAAAAGCTACTCTGATAAGTAATAAATAAATAACAATCGTTTCATGTTTAATATGGAAAATATGCTTGAGTTAACTCTGTACTCCAGAGCTTGTGGATCTTCTGGGCCCAAATCTCTTCTTGTCCCTGTGAATAATATTGGAACACTTAAAAGAAATAGGACTGTCTCAAATCAGTTTGAAACTTCTTTAGAAAACTGTTTTGAAAATGGAATACAGCCTCTTACTCCACAATTCTGTTCTGAAAATGAGGCCAAAATGTACTCCCTTCTGCAGTGTAGGAATGCATCTAAAATTGCTTTAGCATGTTTCAGTACACATGGCTCAGCACATCAGCCCTGGCCATGTGCCAGCTAGAGGCCCAAGGGTTTGCAGTTACATCTGTGTGCTTGGAACAAGGGGTCTGGCACTGAGTGCCCCCTGCTTGGCCCGAACGAGCATCCCTGAGCTCACTGAAGTCATTTTGCCTTCAGACGTGAGAAAGCAGGGACAGAAGTCAGCCCAAAGTGGGACTTAGTGCTGAGGCAATTTGATGATGAACACGTCTCCTCACTGATGTTCCAATACCTGAAAAAGTAGATAAAGCTCTGCAGCTTGAAGTCTCTGTTCAGTTATATACCCTTGTCCTCTGCTTCAGCTGGAACATGGTGTGCAGTGCAAACTTGGGCCAAAGAACTCATCTTGATCTTATGAGTTGTTTTATTATTATTTTAAGCCATTATAATAGCTCTTAAAATAATAGAGATAATATATTATATTATTATATCTTATATCTATCTTATAATAGATCCTTCAAAATCATTGCATGTTATACTAATACATTATTAGTAATATATTAATATAACCAATATGATTAATATTAATTTTTAATAAAAATTGTTGAACTATTTGGCCCTGCTACACTGACAGAAGAGGCCTTAGCAAAGTCAGGAGAAGTACGATCACATACTTGGACAAACTGCAATGATGGTAGAAAAAGCTAGAACCAGAAAAGTAAATTATCTTTATTTGTACACACGGCAAGGCTTTAAATCACTTTAAGCACAAGTGATGATTAAAATCAGTTTTTAAGGATAAAGTCCAGATGTCTCTGAAGTTATAAGGTCTTATGTTTTTCTTTACTGACTTCAGAAGAGAAAGAAGTCCCAGAAAGTAGAAGAGCTTTCAAATAGACAGTAAATTAACTACTGAAGTGGAACAAGGACTAGCCATACATCACAGAAATTACTTGTGCACAGACAGTCTCCATCTAGATTAGAGAAGTACTCAGCTGAGAAAGCCAAGAGAATTAAAGAATGAAGAGATGGACAAAGATCAGCCAGATCCTGAAATAAACTGTAATCAGACACATTTTTTATGTTAGAAATACAGTACAAGATTACCTGGTGTGGTTTGCACAGCAGCACTGCAGCTAACTGTGCTGCAGGGCTGTATGCAGCAGCAGATGCTGGTCCATGTGACTTTCCTCAAACTTTTTTAATCACATTGGAAATGTAACATTTTCTTTCAGTGCCAGAGTTGCTGTGCAAAGGCAATATTCACAAATTTCACAACATAGTTCATTTCCAGGCAATCCAGTAAATTAATGTTTAATGAACGTATGGGGTTTTATAATAAAGAATATTTCTAAGGAATAGAAGTTCTTTGATTCAGCGTCTTCTTTAATGATTTATTTTTGTAATACTGAAGTGGAAGGAAATTAACTTTTCACCATTCTCAGGTCTTTATTACAGCAAAGAATCTCTGGGACACAAGGTGCATCCAACATTCAGACCTACTAAACATTTTTTGGGCCAAACAAATGGATTAGGCCAACTTTGCTTTTTCCTCACTTACAGGTCAAGCATCCTGTGCTACATTTCATTTCCATCCTTTTTTATATACCTCTTACACCCAAATTCTTTAGAAGGTGGTCTTGTTTTTCCAGGCTGATTAGGTCTGGTGGGCTCTACCTTGTTTCCCAATGACTGCATTAACTGTGCTCAACTGGTTCTTCCTACAACACTTCTTTCGAACCTGTGGGGGAAAAGGCAATGTGATAAAACAACAAACGATCACAGTAGAGGATGAGTGACCTTACAGAACGAATTCTGGCTTTTCTGCAAGCTTCAGAGCCTCGTGCATGCCTGCGGCCGAGAGCTTGCGGTTGATGTTCCTGTATCTGCATTGCAGCAGGTTGCGATAGGTTGTCCTCAGGTCCCGGTTGAAGAAGGCATAGATAAAAGGGTTAATGAGAGAGTTTGCATAGCCCAGCCACAGAAATGTTCTCTCCACCCAGAGTGGGATGCAGCTGCACGCTGTACCACAGATGAAGGGCCTTGCAGTTGAGAGGAGGAAAAAGGGCAGCCAGCAGACTGTGAATGCCCCAACAATAATCCCAAGGGTGGTGGCAGCTTTCTGTTCTCTTTTAAAGATGGAAATGTTTCTCTTGTCATGCTTTAGGAGTCGTGAAAAATTAGTACATTCTTCAGATTCCTTGTGCAGTTTTACAAGTCCATTCACAGAAATCCCTTCCATTTCTTCCAGACGGGGAAAACCAGTAAACTTGTGTTTAGCAGCACTCCTCCTGGCAGCTTTATAAATCTGATAGTACATGAAAAGCATCACTGACATTGGAATATAAAATGCAACTGCTGTAGAGTAAATGGTGTAGCCAAAGTCTTGACTGATGAGACAAACCTTTTCGTCATTCACGTTCTGGGCCCAGCCGAAGAGCGGGGGTAAGGTGATGGAGGCAGACAGAAGCCAGACACACAGGATCATTTTGGCCATACACCTCCCATTCTGCCTTACAGGGTACGTAAGGGGTCTTGTTATTCCCAGGTACCTGGAAGGATAACACAGAGTTACTACAGAGGGCAGGGGTTAACTGTTAAAAGTTATTCACTTATTCTGCCTTAGACCAAAATCTTTGACTAAGTTTTCCATTTCATAATTTTCAATCTTCTCTTTGCATGTACTTCCAAGGTGTAAATTCATGTGTCTTTCATGTTGAAGTTTATAATGTTAGTATTCTATATAAGAGGTCTTTTATTCCAGAAGGAAAACTCCCATTGGCCTTAACAGGCTGTGATTTCTATGAATCTGTTCAATTTTCATGCACATAAAGCACATTTTGGCTTTTAAAGAAATTCTGAAACCTAAATTTTATTTTGCTACCTTAAGAAATCTTGGAGTATTGAAGAGTGCTCATTCCACGAAGTCTGTCACTTTTTGTACTGAGTGGATGGTTATAACAAGCAAGCATTCATCTTCACTCTTCTTATGTATTCAAAAATTAGGAAAAGCCCTGCCACTAAGCTGAGATGATGAGCTGTCTTTCTTTCCTTCAGGTTTCAGCCAGGAACAGCAAACTGTGAACTTATACCAAGAGTAGACTATTTCAGTACTAAAAGAATTCTTTTTATCATCACTTAATTAGAAAGAAAATATATTTATTCAAGGTCCAAACTTTTCCTGAACAAAGTAAAAATCTGTCCCGGTTCAAGGAGACCGGGGAAGAAAACACAGTTTTACAGACATTAAAAATGTTTATAATAGGTCAATTTGTCATAGGAAAAAAAAATTACATCTGTTGGCAACTTTTCTATTTCCTAATTTGTGGTATTTTAAACTAAGTATCTTTATCTAATTACAAAAGTATTACTATGGCTCTATATAGCTGGGTAAAAATATCCTAAGTTTGAATTTACTTTCAAATGTAGAAAATTTCTGTATTTCCTCTCTAACAGTGAGAATTTTCTCTTAGATGGAATCATATGCCTTTATTTAGATCTAAGATTTTTAATTTCGATTTTGGCTTCTGCTCAACTGGAACTTACATACCAGTTACTGTTAACTTCTCAAATTGTTCTTTTTCTCTTCTTCCGTAAGGATTTGGAGAAAATCAGTGGGATTTGTTTTGTTATTTGTAAAAGAAATTATTTCAAATCAAGCTCCTGAATAATGCTTTGGTTTCAAGAGCTACCAGTGTTTACTCATATAGTGAAAGCTGTGGATTGTTACAAACAAGAACTATAGCAATGTGATTTAAAATATTTTTGAGGAGCATGTTTTCTCTGTCTATTCACTTTGCAGAACAAACACGAGATTTGCCTGGCTCTGTGGAATGCATTGTTAATTTTACTGCAGTGCAGTAGATCATGGCCAGCGCTCTTGCTTTATACAAGCACATGGATATGCTAGAGTTATGGAAGTAAAAGAAACATCATTTATTGATCTGTTCTCATGAGTATCAACAATCCTGTTCAACCATGTCATTGGTTTGATATCGCTGTTGTGACAAGTGTTACACAAAGGACAGACTAGTTTATTGTGCCCTATTCTTGACAGGGTGCACAAGTAAATTACAGCAGGTCAGTATTTTGCCAGTGAATCTGTGCCTGGAGGGGCCATGAGCAAGGAATTCTTGTTGGAATTGTCTGGGACCAGAGCAGTGCAGTCCATGGACCTTGCTGCTAAAAAGGGCTGCTAAAAAGGCTGCTTCTTGTGCCCATCAGCATCAACCACTGGCTCAGCAGCCATGGGCATCGTGCAGAGACCATGGAGATTTCTGTGTTATAGCACCATGGCCAAAACCATCCTCACTCCCAAGGAGCCAAGGGTTTTCCAAGATGCTCCAAGATATGGAAGAGAGGAATTAGTGCAGTGAAACTTCAGTTTAACTAATTAAAGTATACATCACACTGCTTTAAGCAATGCAACTGCAGCAAGGGTGAGCTCTCAGCTGCAGACTTTCAGGGGCAAGAGTGGCCTACCCTTAAAATTTGTCTAAGAATAGCCCAGTTTATGTACAAAACAGCTAAACACATCCTTTGTGTGCAAAGACTTCTTGTCATTTACTGTGTGTTGTTGTCAAAAAAATCCTTATCTTCCTTCCTGAAGTATGTACTCCTATAGCTATTATCCAACTGGTCACTAAAAATAACACTTTTAGGGTGAACTTTATTATGTAGCTAAAAACGTTAAGCTAGATTTCTGTAAAAATCAGATCTGTGGGCTGCATATTCTGAGTGCCTAGTGATGCATTCTCATGCACCAGAATATAACAAAAAGAATTCATGAAAGCATAAGTACACTGAAAAGAATGAAAATTCATTAGTTTTGCCCTGGCATCACTTTTTTCGGAGTGTATCTTTTCTTCAGAAATGCTATTTGAAATTAAAATATGTTAATTAGCATAAAAATACACCAGCATCTCTTCTGCCTTATTCATTTTGCTAAATGTAGTATGATAGGGGGAAAGAAGTCAGCAGGCACAAATGAAGGAATGTTATCTTTTAATCTCTCTATATGAAATCCATTACCCTTGAAAACTCATTTGCGACGTCAAAATAATGTAAATCACTACTGTTGTCTAATACACTAGAGAGTGTTCAGGGCTTAATAGATTCATGAACTTCAAAAATATTGTCAAATTCAGTGGGAAAATATGCTTTTTAATGCTTAATCTTAAACTAGTACTTTAATAAAAAATACTTAATCAGCTGAACTTAATATATTCAAGTGTAAGTAACACCTTGAGGTCTTATTACTGGGAAAGATAGAAGTCAGAGTCCCTAAAAAGCCCATTTAATGTGTCTCAACTATCCCCCACATGAAAGAAGTGTCTCAGACTTGTTATTCTGAGATTTGCTTCTTTCACATGCCACAGATGTTCATTTTGATCTTGGTGGAGAAGAAACTGTGCCTGGGTTCTCACTTTTAAAAGAAGGGCAATGCTATTTTGTATTCTTCCTGCTCTGAATTTCTTGACTCAGTGGTTCTGCCAGACAGGGCATCTCTCCATGTTACGCCCAGCACAGTGAGGTCTGTATCTGGGTTACTCCCCAAAGGCAGATGAATGGCCTTTATTTCTTCTAAATTGGTCATGGCATTTTCCATTCAGCACTGCCTGCTGCTGCATGCAGAACACTGAAGTGCAGGATGCTGTTTCAGCCCTACAAGAGGCACAACACGCACAGCAGTCACGTTCTGCTGCCACTCCAAAGATGCTGGGTGAGTGGAAAACACTGAGAAGGAAGAAGATGGCACTGCTGTCTAATTGATACAGCAAAAAAGGGTGATGTGAACACTTTTCTGCTGCATCACGTACGTGGAAAACAGACCCTTGCTTGGGGAGCTCAAAGTAAACAGCAGAGACCAAAAAAGACAGCAAATGGTGAAGGGCAGAGTAAACTTCTTGTTAAGTGTATGTGTATAAACACATGGGCACATCCCTGCTCTGGGTCGGTCTCATGATTTCTTCAGTGTCTCTTCTTCCCCACTGGGGGTTCTGCTGCAGCCCCATTCAGGTGTGAGGCATACACAGTGTGCCCAGCTCTGGGGAGGAGAAATTACCCCATCCTCTTTCTGGAGCTCTGTTCAAACCTGGAAAGGGGTAGACAAAAATTCCTTCCTTTCAGCCACTGTACACAATTGCCATTTGCCACACACGATGAACACCAACAGTGTAAAAGGTAAATGAACAAATCCTTTCCTTTTGCTTTACAAAAATGTGATTCCCTGTGATGCAGAATTCTTCCCCGGGATCTCTAAATGGTTAGCATTTAATGACCATTACAACTATATTGGTCTGTTCCTGAGACAATTCAGTTTGTGAGCTTTTCCATTCTGCCTTTTCTGCTATCAATCCATTACAAAGACCACAGAGAATAGTTTTTTGTCCTACAGGGCTAAAAAAACTCTTATGATCACATAGGCAGATGGGTCTAGTCCCCACACCTTTTGAAATATCCAGGAAACAACCTGAGACTTAACAGCTACACTGACTTGAACAACAGAAAGAAAAGAGTAACAGGATGGTCCAATTTGTGGTCATGTGTCCTAAATCCTTCTTTCCTAGCTCCATTATATGGCTAAAATATAAAGAGTAAAAGGACTTGTCTGTCACTGTGAGCAAAGTCATAGAGCAATAGAAAAGTGTACAGTTAAAAGAATTAATACAATTTTGAAGCTTCCTGCCCAATTCAATAATAAACGGAATGCATTCTGACATCAGCATCACTTATGCAACTGTTGTACACACATGTAATTCCTTTGTTTCTGGTCTCCATGTACTTTATAGACAGGTAGAATTCCAGTCTAGTTAGCCCACATTTATGTCTCAGAATTCACTGACTTGATCTAACAGATTCCAGAATCAAATTAGATATTTCACTGTCTGACTATGCTTTACGAAGCAGATTGGATTGCAATGGAATAACACTAGAAATATTATACTGGAGATGATACAGATGAGTATTACAGCTATTTCTGCCAGGAATCACAACATATTTTATCACTTACCATTTGATTAGAAGTTCTGTCTTTAATATGAGGTTCTGTCAGTTCTCCTATCGTTGTATTTTAAGAGGCATAAAACTGCTTTATTCCAAAGACACAACAATGCTTCCTCCTTTGCTGCTCTGTTTCTCTAGCACAGAAGCTTTCTGTCTTCAATATGTATCTCCTTGCAGGAATTCTTTGCAAACCCACATCTATAGACTCCCATCCTGTATTGCACCTGCAATAATAACTTATTCTGAAGAATTGTGCTGATCTACTGGCTTTTCTTCATTGGCTATGATTCTCTCATCATTTTTCATAATTTATTTTTCTATTTGGTTCAGCTCAACATTGAGAAACTCTTCACAAGAATAGGAGCAAAATGCCATTCCTAAAATCTATCCAGCATTGAAAAATATTCTCTCTAGTATAGTAATATATCTAGATAACTTTTTTCCTTTCCTTCAAATATAAATGTAACAAGTTGAAACAAATACCAAATCTATTATTTCTGTTATGGCTGTGTCAAAACACCTAGCAAATACTGTTTTCTTTTCAAAT